TATCAAGACCTCCGTAACCTCCTTGCCTCTAGGAGTGACACAGAAAAGCATGATGAAGCTGTTTGCAAGAGTTTGCTGACCTTTTCACAATGTGGAACAAATACATTTCTGTAAAAAAAAATTACTGCAATACTCTTCTCTCTGTTTGCTGTTCCCTAAAGAAAGTCAACTTATCCAATAGATGGTACTCCTCTTCCAATTCCAATGTTGTTGTGCACCCAGTTGTTTCCCTTTTGAGCTCCTTGGGCATGTCTCATATGCCCCGGCCTTAACAGGTTTATAACAAGCTCAAGTTTCAATTGTTCAGCAGGCTAGTAGCTTTTATATAAAGGTGATCTGAGTGGCTGTAGAACCATCTGATAAGTTTTACCATACTCGCAAGGTACAACCCCTACAAATCCACTGAACCCTATGCCTCGTGGTTCCTGGGCTCTCCCACTCCTTGAAGTCTGAGACCACAACAGTGTCTGGATGGCTAGCAGGAGGACATCAAGCAACATCTGCTTGCTGATGTTCTCTGCAGAGTGTGAACCCAGAAGCACTCAGCTTTAAGCATTTCTAGGTTGAGAGCTGCCAAAATCCTGGTTGAACAGCGGAAATAGTACACGCTATGCTTGATCGGCTAGAGCAGAAGGCAAGAGAGACATTAGGGGTCTAGTAGATGTCCTGATGTCTCCACAAAGAGTACTTGTCATTGGCCCAATGCTATCACATTGGGGGCTTGTTGAAAAAAAATATCTAAAAACTGTAAAATGTAATTAAAAAAAAGAAATTAGGAGCCCCCCTGTGCACGTAAGGAACATAATAATTCTAGGTCCCTCATTTATGGTTAACTCTAAACTGAGCAGCTGTAAAGGCTTTTAAAGTGTGACTTATTGATAATTAGGTACCATCGTTTTTCGCAGTTTAGTGGGCACACAGTTTTAAGGTTTGACATGTTATCGATTTACATGACCTCATCTTTTAATTTGTGCAAAAAAATTGGAGATTAAATTGTGTTTGTGTGCACTAAAATTCATTGTAGTGTATTTTGTTCCTGAAAATATAGATTTAATAAATAGCGGTGCATGTTCTACAGCGTCTTTACTTTCAGAAAATATATAATGTTGAGATGAAGTGGTTAAACATGACGTTTAACTTTAATTACACAGATGCAACCAGTAATATATTCTTAAAAATTATTTCTTTCCAATTTCCACTATCTCCAACCACCCACCAGAAAGGGGGTTCACCAGCTGGTCATTACCCTGTATGTACTGTATGAAGGTCATTCAGCCCCTTGTCCACCTCTCACTTTGCATCCTGTTATTTTGGTAAGCAACTGGGTTTCTGACATGTACTGATGTAACTCTGATAACAGAACCATCCTCCATAGTTTGTGGTCTTAAAGGAGAACTATGGGGTCAGGGGTTTTCCCCATAGTTCTCCTTAGGGTAACGGGAGGACACAAACTAGCGTCCTCCCGTCACCCTAAGCTCAGTATACCGCGAGCAACAGCTTGAGGTATACTGAGACGCCGGAGCGGATCCCGACATCGATGTCGAGATCCGCCCAGCTGCGTGAGTGACAGCTGGCTCTGCCTATCTAGAGGCAGAGCCAGCTGTACCCGCCCCCTCCCCGTCTGTTCCGCCAGTCAGCGCTGGCGGATCGGAGCGGGGAGGGCAGGGAATCCATCCCCTCCCCTGTCACTGCAGAGAGCCGTGACAGGATCGAGAAGTGAGCGAACACCGGCATGTGTTCGCTCACCTCCCGATCTACTGAGCCGACCTGTGACAGTCTCATTGTCACAGGTCAGCTAGAACTATGAGGTGAGTGAAAAGCACTCACCTCATAGTTCTCCTTTAAACTAACGTCTTTCTAGAATATAGTAACATCTATAGCACAAACATTCATGGATTTCACAATCCCAGACGACCCCTCCTTTTTCCTCCTGCACAATTTGCACATCCCCACATGGACATACAACAGATCGATCCTTTGACATCTCTTCAATGCAGCTAAATCCTGCATCCGCCGCCTCCGGAAAAACCCTTTCTCCTTCAATTTCAATGTGGCTCCACAACCATGGTTGTGTATAAGAAAAAATGGAGGATCTTACTGGTTCTTTTGGCTTAAGTTCATTTACTCAGATGAAAGTCAAGCTTTTTTACCAAGGCTTCCTGAATTCAGGCTCTTTTCAACACCTGATGGCCTGTGGGCAACTCCTCATCCCTTTCCATTTTTCACACTTATTTTGCGTTGTTGACCTCTGGACCTATAAAAGAAAATGGATCCACCATCTAATTAGCATCCCTCCCCTTAGGACAGGAAACTTAGTTTCTATACCTCAGTAGTTGCAGTTATCTTTACTGTTCTACCTGTTCCCTTTAGATCAGTGGTTCTCAACCTGTGTAACCTCAGGACCCACATTTGTCCTCGGTCTTTAAGTCGCGACCCAAGTCACACTGCCCTGGAATGCACGGCATTGTGGTTCCGCGCATTCCAGGGTGGGCGGGAGGTGAGTTTGGGGTGCCATTCAAATGAATAGCAACGCAATGCACCTTCCACACCAGAACTCATAGAACTTGTAGCAAGTGCGACTGAATGATACAGTGCGGTAATTGCACAGGACTATTCACTGCACTGCACATTGTACTAGTGTGAACAGGCCCTCAAAAACACTGACAGATACACACAACCACAGACACAATCTCACACACTCACAGACATTCTCACACACACATACATACATACACACTCCAAAAAAAGATTACATTTATTTTTTCTTTTAAATCCACCCAGTCTCCTTATCTTATGAGAACTGGAATGGATCCTCAGCCTGGGGTCCAGTGTGGGCTGCTATGCTGTGATGGAGCTCCATCCATTTGTGCATTGCACCTCTCTCTTGCGTGCCCTGTAGTGGTGTTGGGAGACAGAATGTGACATCACTCCAGTCCGGGCACCTCTACAGGACATGCGAGGGAGCTGTAAGCAATGCACATACGAATGGAGCTCCCTCGCGGACATAGCCCCAGCCCACCCACCTCAAGCTGACACGCATCGGGCAACATATTTTAAATAACTGCTTGGCACGAGAACTGACAGTGCTGCACTCGGGGGAGGCTGAGGAGCCTCTCACCTAGAAAAGCGGAAGGCGCGCGGTGACCCACTGAACAGGGAGTTGCGACTCACTGAACATGGGGTCGCAACCCACTTTTGGGTCATGACCCACCAGTTGAGAACCAAGGCTTTAGATGGCTTAATGACTTATTGAACTAAGTTTCTTTTTTTTTTTTACTTTGATGCTTGCTTACCCAACCTATATTTGTATGTCATGATATGCTGCAATATTGTTCCATATTTGTTTGAGTTTTTCTCTTAAAGAGTTTACAAAAAGATTCCTCAAACCAAACATATGTGAAGAAACAATACACATACTTCAAATATTACATAGCGAAATAAACAACATAAACAGAAATAACAAACACTACACACATAAAAGTTCTTTTGTCCACACTGTGGTTATCCGAAGTAACCACTTATGGGTACCAGTATTTTTTCACCAACCATGAATTGTCACTCACCACATAATATACCTCTCTATTACAGAAAGTTATGCTCTTTGAGTAATCTGCTATGGTGACACTCACATTTCCAATTGTAATCCACGCTGTCCACCAAAGGATATCCCCAGCTATACCTGGTTTGCTAATCTGGTATTCCTCAGTTTAGATATGGCAAAAAATCTCCAGAAACTTTCATAGGCTAATATTGCTTTTATTATAAAAGCCCCAAAAAATGTAAACTCACATTTTCATAATGAATCTAGTACTATCAACAAAGTGCTAAAATACAGATGGCCATATCAACTTTACACTGCCACAGCAAAGTATGTCTTACTTTTGGATCAAGGTCATGTAACTGACTCTATCCTACACGTTTGGTCAACCAAGAATTCGTCAGGGAACCCAAAAAGCATAACTCGGAGTCAGTTATGTGACCTTAATCTGTGAGACACAAAGTTTCACAGCAGCGTACAGCCAATGGGGACATAATTTCTCAGTTCTGGCTTTCTGATAGTGACAACAGTTAGCCACAACTTTGCAACCTGTCAGCACAGCTGCTTGTAGTCTCAACCAGGGGAGCATATGACAAGATGATAATCCAGGAGTACAATTAGGAGACAGTTGTCACTCCATAACAGGGAGTGACCTTCATAGCAGGATCCGTTTTTTAAAGAAAGCCAAATATTAAAAAAATGTAAAGCAACTTTTGACATGGCATCATGATGATACAGATTACATGAGATTTTACATCAGGGGTGGGCAACTCCGGCCCTCCAACTGTTGTGGAACTACAAGTCCCAAGAGGCACTGCAAGACTGAAAGTTACAGGCATGACTCCCAAAAGGCAGAGGCATGTTATGATTTTTAGTTAAAGTATAGCTGGAGGGCCAGAGTTGCCCGTCCTTGTTTTACATAGGGTGGAAAAACACACAGGTCCATTGAGTTCTACCAACATATGATTGGGTATAGATCTACTTTAATGAATCCCCATCAGTGTTTAAGGAAGAGTGTAGGAAGTGTGCTCCTGGTTTATTGTACCTTTCAGGTTTTCTGCAGAACAGCTTCTAGTACTGTTGGTCTTACGATTATTATTTGTCCTCCCTGAAAGGTAGACCAGTAACTTCTATTGCTCAACACAAATAGACTATTCCATATTAGAATTGCACTTCAGCTGCTCCTTTATCTGTCAAATTGAATGTACATATCTGCGTTTACCAAGGGCCGGCACATGATCAGCAGGTGTAGGGACTTTTATAAGTAACAAACTGAGATGGACCGCTGAGCTTCTGATTTCTTCCTCCCATATCAATAGAGATCAAAGGTTTCTTTTTTTTTATGAAGGCAGTTATTCAGTTGTTAAATTAGTCCCTTTATAACAACCATCTTAGAGAAGCATTAATACATTTCCGAGTGGAAACAAATATGCGAAGAAGAATATCTGTAAAGGGCCAGAAGTCCTTTTGCATATATTAAATGTACATCCACCATTCATAACAGAACCTCTTGCAGCCATGAGACGCTGTTTGGCTAGCCAGTCTGTGAAGATCATGCCACCTGGAACTTCCCTCTATATCACTTAGATTTCAGGAGGCTCTCCAAGCTGAATGGCTCAGAAGTGGAAAGTTCCTCTTGGCTTCTAGGCACAGCTGGAAATAAGGACTGCATTTTCTCTCTGAATTCTTTAAGCTGCAAAAACAAACAAACATGATATGAATGTAAAACAAGCGATCAAAAACATGGTCTTTGGGAAATGATTTTGACTATTTTATTATTATATCAGTACTGCTGAGACCAATAAGAAGGGGGAACTTTGCCCTGAAAAATCAACTTTTACAGGGCTATTTTCAAACAATTTGTAGAACAACTCGCAGAGCCATCCGCCCTGCGAATCTCTGTGAACATTTTTTTTTTTTGCAAATAAAGTTAAAAACAAACATTCTTAGTACAGTAAACTCTCTGTTATCTGGTATTCAGCTAACCGGAACTCCCATCTAACCGGCAAAAAAAAAAATCCCTTGTGTACTCACTGTTATACCAATCTGCCACCTTCTAGAAGAGGGAGAGCGGCCTCTGGAGCATGGAAAGGTACAGGAACGGATCAAAATGAGCTGGATTATCCTGGGAATGAGTGTATGAACTGTAAGCCCTCACGGGCAGGGCCCTCCTTACCATCTTGTCTTAAATTGTATTGTGACTGTAATGTCTTCCTTATATTGTAAAGCGCTGTGCAAACTATTGGCGCTATATAAATCCTGTATTATAATAATAATAATAATAATAATAATAATAATAATAATAATAGTATGAATGATCTCTGAAAAGTGTTGTTATCATGGAAAATGAGTGTCTGATCGATCGTTTGTGAAAGTGTTGTGTTGTCCTGTGAACAAGCACCAATTAGTGATCACTCCCAGTACTGCAATGTATTGCTAATGGTTTGGAGTACAATATACTGGTATGGTATGGTATGGTATAGGATGGGGTAGGGCATTACTTACACCCATTTTTAATAGTAACTCTTAAGCAACCAAAAACTACATTTATCCGTAATCTACCAATCCCCGTGGAAGCCGGATAATGGGGAGTTTACTGTTTCTTTTCTTTTCAGGCAATGTGACATTCAGAAATATTGCATTATAGCCACTAGATAGAGCTGAGGAGCATAGGAAATACTTACTTTCTATGCTCCTCAGCTCCATCCAGTGGCCATAATGCAGCATTACATTACATGCAACCTGAAAATATAATATACTAAGAATATTCTTTTTTGCCTCTATTTACACAGCACAAACATTCACTGAACTGAATAGTGTAAATAAAAATGAATCACGTACCCTTAACTGCACTTAGCTCCTGTGTTGATGGACAAATGCAAACTACTTTTAACATCCGTTTGATGCCTCTAGAACCATTCAGTCTTCCAAGTGCATTTGACCTACGGTTGACCTCCTTTTTACCTGCAATTGATCTGCTTCCCATTTTGCCATCCCACAGACTTGTGGTTTTTAAACCTTTGCCTAACAGCTATCTATTTTTTTTTTGCACACGTTAAAATAAACATTTTAGGCCTAAAACTTCCCCAAAATGCTATGACATATATTGGTAGCAGTGAAAATTAATAGTAACTATTCTTCCTTTTTCAAGCTTGTTTTCTTTATTTCCACCTGGTGATCCTACCAGTAATACACTTCTTGCTCTAGAGTGACAATCCTCACTCACCATTCCGTATCTATGTAGAAGCAGCTGTCACCCAAGGCCAGGAATTATTTTAGGAACTATGGGGTTAGGGCTTTTAACCATAGTTCTCCTAAGGGTAACAGGAGGACACAAACTAGCATCCTCCCATCACCCAAAGCTCAGTGTACCGCGAGCTACAGCTCGCGGTATACTGAGACGCCGCAGCCGGAACGGATCCCGACAATTCTGTCTGGATCCACCCAGCTGCGTGAGTGACAGCTGGCTCCGCCTACCAAGAGGCAGAGCCAGTTGTCCCCGCCCCGTCCATTCCGCCGGCTCTGGAGGATCGGACAGAGGGGGGGGGGGAATCCCTGCAGGGAGCTGTGAGTGATAGTCACGGCTCTCTGCAGGGATAGATCGAGAAGTGAGCGAGCGCCGGTATGTGTTCGCTCACTTCCCAACCTACTGAGCCGACCTGTGACAGTTTCATTGTCACAGGTCGGCTCAGATTATGAGGCTGAGTGAAAATCACTCACCTCATGATTCTTTTTTAAGAACACCTCCCCTCTCCAAATATGACATGACATATGGGAGGGTTATTCTGTAGATCACAGAAATACTTGGGAAACTAGAGTTCACAACAGACAGAAACCACAGAAAATTATCAACTCAGGATCAAGTTTAAAATGTTTTCAACAGACCAAAAGGGAACAAATAAAAAAGAAAAGTACATTGTTGGAATCTACTTATAAAGCTTTCATAAAAAAATGTGTGCTCTTAGAACAGTCTTTTTGTTTTTTTCAGCATGTTCCATACGTTGTGTAAAAACTAAAAAATCTGCCAAAAGTTTCAGTTAGAATATAAATAGTTAGAATAAGTTGAATAGAAGAGAACAATGGCTCAATGTTCAGCATACAATGTCTCACATTTTAGCTTTCATTTACAGTATTATCAAAACATTTTGCTGTAAAACTTAAAAGTCTATCAGGAGAAATATTCTCTGATTCCCCTTTGAAAATGTTAGTTCTTTGGCTATTATGGCAACCCTTCAGTTCCTCTACTTAGAGATTCAATGACCTGATATATGAATATACTGCATATTAGAGCTGACCCCTTTATGTACTAAGGGCTCATGTACATGGGCATATTGCAGAGCAAATATAGGCATATTTTCATACAGCATAAAACACACCTGTATTTGCAGCACCTGGGACCAGGTAGACCAGGTGTACAATACCACCGGGTGCATCACTCTTACTTTTGCCTGATCTGTACCCGGTACAGCTTACGTTAATGTTGTCTGTGTCTATATTTGGTATATTTTTCCTACCTGCGGCTGTGAAGGATTGTGCTAATCCCCCCCCCCTTTCCTGCCCCCTCCTCCATTCACGAAATTCCTAGTATTAGGAAATACAAGGTGTTCTGTTAATGGGCAACTCATCTGCCCTCTACCATTCACAGAAGTCCTTGCAATTCCTTATACTAGGAATTTTGTGAATGGAGGAGAGGACAGGAAGAGCGAACTGCACGATTCGTCACTGTTGCAGCTGTGACTGTGAAGGATTGTGCTATCCTCCACCCCCTTCCTGTCCCCTCCTCCATTGACAAAATTCCTAGTACTAGAAATTGCAAGACATTCTTTGAATTGACAAGGGGCTGTCCTGTATTTTATCTGCCCCCCTCCATTCACAGATGGCCTTGAATTGTGAGGAGAAAATAATACAAAGATTTTGTGAATGGAGGTAGGGACAGGAAGGGCAAACTGTGTGATCTTTCACAGTTGCAGACGCTGTTTCTGATCCTTGCGGCGCTGGAAGATCACCCCTTTAGGGAATATGTTGCATTCAATGGAGGGAGGATTTTTACTATACACTAACTGGCAGCCAGAAAGATATTGGATACACTCTATTAGAGGTAACTTATGTGACTGGAGCTGCATGCGCCCCAAAAAATGTAAACATTTTTTACTGGAGTTCAGCTTTAATCAATCACATTAATCAAATACTTATGAAAGTATTGTGCAACAAACATTATAAGTTGATGGGTCAACACTGGATGCTGAAAAAAATACTGCTGATGTGATACGATTGGATTTTCCAATGGCCTTGATACCGTCCCTTATAATATTCTATTATTTAAAAAAAAATACTATACAAATACTATGGAAGAAAAAAAAATGAAACTAAAGGACAGAAGGAGAGCGGCAGTTGTGGTGCATATTTAAAATGGTTAGGGATATTATAACAATTATCAGTGCTGAGTTCAGCAGTTTTTAATCTTTTAATTAATAGCCTAATGGATGAAAAATGACAAGTAATGCTGCCATTTTCTGCTGATGACACAAAACTATGCATAATAATTAAAACTCAGCAAGACAGCGGCATATTAGAGAACAATCTCAACAAATAGCAACAATGGCAGTTGAATGCCAAATACAATGAAATGATGATAAAAGCAAGGGTATTCACCTTGGCTGTGCCAATAGCTTTGCCTCTGTTTATTGAGGTCAAATTCAACTTAGATTTGTAGATCACTATAATTACAGTGGGATCACGTTTATGTTTTCTCTACCTGCTCTGCTCACATCCTGTAGAATGTTGGTATGAATTTCATGTTTGCTAATTTGTCATATGTTGGTGATGTGTCAGATTTGAGTGCACTTACTGTGGTGTGCACCAACATTTTGCCCCAAATCTGAAGTAATCTTCCACTGGGATCATCCTCAAGTGTAGTCTTCTCCTCCCCTTCCTGCACTGCTGCACCTTGCTGCCATCTATACATATCCCTCTACTCTCCTTCCTGCACTGCTGGACCTCGCTGCCCGTCTACACACATCCCTCTCTACTCTCCTTCCTGCATTGCTGTACCTTGCTGCCGTCCATATACATCCCTTCCTCCTCTCCTTCCTGCACTGCTGTACCTTGCTGGCCGTCCATACACATCCCTCTCTCCTTTCCACATTGCTGTACCTTGCTGGCCATCCATACACATTCCGCTCTCCTCTCCTTCCTGCACCTTGCTGGCTGTCCATACACATCCCTCCTCTCCTTGCAGCACCTTGCTGGCTGTCCATACACATCCCTCTCTCCTCTCCTTCCTGCATTGTTGTACCATGCTGGCTGTCCATACACATCCCTCTCTCCTCTCCTTCCTGCACCTCGCTGGCTGTCCATACACATCCCTCTCTCCTCTCCTTCCTTTAAGTTTGTTTTCTTAAAAAATCAGCAACAGCCTCAGTAGGACAACCTGTGTCCTGGCAGCATGCTGCAGAGTGGGACCCTTGCTCTATGTGTGGAAGCATTCATATCTTTACAGAGGTCCAAAACCACCACCATCCAACTCATGCTCTCCCCCCGCCCCC